TTAAAATTATGGGTGTTTTGAAAAATCATATGAAAAGTATTTTGGAAATAAAAAATATTGTGTAAAATTAAGTGTCATTTTTTAAAGTTAAGTATCACTTTTTTTTTTAATTAAAAATGACATATAATGTTATTTTTATTAAAAATTAATGTTTATCACCCAAAAAAGTGATAAAATTCAAGAAAATGACAGAAAAAAGAAATAAATAATAAAACAAGTGACAAAAATTCAAAAAAGTGACAAAATAGAAAAAAATGACGCAACTTCAAAAAAAGTTGCACAAAATAAAAAGCAAATGACAAAATTCAAAAAAGACAAAAAAAAGGTGGCAAGCTCAAAAAAGTGAGAATTTTTTAAGAAGTGACAAATAATCAAAAAATTTTAAAAAGTGAAAAAACATCAATTAAAACACTGAAATTAATTCCATAAAGTGACTAAACTTTATATTTAAATCCATCATTATCACATGAGGAAAATATAACATGACTTTTCTTTTAAACCAACATTTTTGAGAAATTATTAAATCTCAATCGTACAAAATGAAAAAGAAATTGACACACAAAAAAAGTGAAAAAAAAATAATAAAAGAAAAAAGTGACAAAACGATTAACACTTATTCTATTGCTATTTTTATAATGTAGCAATATATCAACCTAAAATTTACGCAGAAAAAACGATTAACACAGATTCTGAAGATTATTCCACATATTTGTTTTTTGATCATACATTCAGTAAAGCATCATTCCTCCCCATTTACAAAGAATTACAAAAGGTACCATCAAAAGAGTGTCCTTTTTCATATAGAAATTGGATTCAAATTCGGTTCAAGTGAATTATATTTGCTGAGTCAGACCGTATTAGACTTTAAAACCCTATGTTAAGGGATATATATCTCACATCGATAAATGATATCGACACGAACTAATTAATAAAGATATTGGTCTACACCTCTTAATAAAATTGACCTTTTAAGATAGAATCTCAAATCTTTTAGCACTCTACATCTTTTACATATAAGAGTATGAAAAAACTTCTCTTTGAAATCCGAACTTGACATATGCAAAGTACAGTTGTTCGCAGTNTTTCCTAATTGGGGCCGCTTTTGGATACGTTTCGGTATTTTGGCCATAATTTTGGCTACAGTTGTCAGAATCACGCCCATGACCCCAATTCGGAAAGTTCTTTCCTGCGCGCATGTCGTGGGCACCCAACTATATTCAGCGTGCATCGGTTTCGAAGCCAAATTCAGCCGTTTTCCCTTCCGAATCATCAATTTAAGTTAATTTTTGCTATTTTTAATAATATTTCGATGTCCTTTTTGACATAGATTACGATCTCAAATTTAGCTAGATTTTTGGGATTTTCAACCTTTCATTACGTATTTCGTTTGATATGAATAATATAATTTTGTTATTTTTGGCAAAATTTCGATAATT